GTAGAGTGGGGGTCAGGAGGTGAGGACGGGGTAGAGTGGGGTCAGGAGGTGAGGATGGGGGTAGAGTGGGGTCAGGAGGTGAGGACGGGGTAGAGTGGGGTCAGGAGGTGAGGACAGGGGGGGTAGAGTGGGGTCAGGAGGCGAGGACGGGGTATAGTGGGGGTCAGGAGGCGTGGTGGGGGTAGAATGGGGATCAGGAGGTGAGGACGGGGTAGAGTGGGGTCAGGAGGCGTGGTGGGGTAGAGTGGGGTCAGGAGGCGAGGACGGGGTATAGTGGGGGTCAGGAGGCGTGGTGGGGGTAGAGTGGGGATCAGGAGGCGTGGTGGGGTAGAGTGGGGTCAGGAGGCATGGTGGGGGTAGAGTGGGGTCAGGAGGCGAGGACGGGGGAGGGGTAGAGTGGGGTTAGGAGGCGAGGACTGGGTATAGTGGGGGTCAGGAGGCGTGGTGGGGGTAGAATGGGGATCAGGAGGTGAGGACGGGGTAGAGTGGGGTCAGGAGGTGAGGCGGGTGGAGCAGCGGGCAGGAGTCTAGGCTGGCCGCTACCTGCAGTGCACCACGATGGGGCCACTGAAGAAGTTGCTGAAGGCGTTCACTCTGCGGCGCAGCTTGAGCAGCAGGTGCGGGTCGTCGGGCACGCCGTGGTCCGGCCAGCTGGTAAACTGAATGTGCGTCACTTCTCTTCCCGCCGCTTTTTCTTTTTTCTATCACAAGAGAATGTTTGTCTTTGGAGTAATCTTTTCTTTCTCAGAGCAAACTAGGTAAGTAAAACCAAAAATCCTCATCGTGCAAATATAAGCTGCATCAAAGGGCCTTTTCCTCGGGCGCTGGGTAAGTTTGTCCAGCCACGGCTGGATTTTCCTTGCAGCTAACTAGCAGGGGAAGTGCATGCACTACACACGGAGCAGTCCCTTTCCAGCAAGGTGTGGTAGCTGAAACTCTTAAGACCTGTCAGGAGTGGAAACCCAAAACAACAAACATAAACACACCTCCCAAAATGGGGGGTGAGGTGGCTCTGGGAGTAGGTATGGGGGTATAGTTGGAGAAATAGCATTAGAGGTCATTCACGCAGCTTTTTAGAATTCTTCCCCTTGATGAACCAACAAACAGAAGTCTGCTTAATTACGGTATGCAGTTAACACTTTAACCCCCAGGTGGATAGAATGATTAACTTGAAACAATGAACAGTCAGAATTCGATATTTGGTGTGTAATGTTCCGATAAGAAAGATTTCAGTTGATCAGGAACAGGAATCCAGACTGACAGCTGTTACCAGAAAAAACATCAAATGTATATCACTGAAAGTCTCCTGCAAAAAGGAATGCACCACCTCTATAAGCTTGTTTACCTGGAATTTAGTCACATGTGGAATCACACAATATGCCATTACCTCCATTTCAACCATTACCAAGGTCACTTTGACTATTTTCTGAATGAAGTGCTCTGTTTCTTCTGTATAGTTAGAACTTTATAATGCTAGTGAGTTGTACTATCTGCATAAAATTGTTTCCATAATGGTTAGAACCCACCGAAAAAAAGGATGATCTCTTTATTCATTTAATAACTTAATCATTGGTTCAAACCATCTAACAACATATGCTTTAAAAAATACTTTAAGGGCCGGGCGCTGGTGGCTCACGCCTGTAATCTTAGCTACTCAGGAGGCTGAGATCTGAGGATCGCGGTTCAAAGCCAGCCTGGGCAGGAGAGACCGTAAGACTCTTATCTCCAATAAATCACCAGAAAACTGGAAGTGGCGCTGTAGCACAAGTGGTAGAGCGCTCACCTTGAGCTGAAGAGCTGAGGGACAGCGCCCAGGCCCAGAGTTCAAGCCCCATGACGGACAAAAAAAAAAGAAAAAAAATACTTTAAGGGTCCACCATAACAGATACTTTTTTTGGGGGGGTCCAGTTGTGGGGCCTGAACTCTGGGCCTGGGAGCTGTCCCTCAGCTCTTTTAGCTCAAGGCTAGCTCTCTACCACTTGAGCCACAGCACCACCTCTGGCTTTTTTCTTTTTGCTTATGTGGTGCTGGGGAATGGAACCCAGGGCCTCATGCATGCAAGGCAAGCGCTCTACCACTGAGCCACCTCCCCAGCCCCATAACAGGTACTTTTGATTTGGCAAGGACTAAGACTTAAATTTGAGTCTGTCAGCTTGTGTTTATGATCTAACCCAGCTTCTCCTCCTCAAGATGGTTTAAATGACTGTTTCTAGGTATCTCTTAATTTCTCAGATTTACTCTTCCAGCCTTTTCTTCCTATAAAAATATCAAACCAAATTATAGTAATACAATGAACTCACGTTTGTGATGCTCAGCTTCTGAATGATGTAGTCTGGACATCTCTTGTGTTCACTGATCTCTACAATAACATCCCCAAAAGACCGCGTCCCTTCCTCCATCGATGGCCAGTATTCTGCACATTTGTTCTAGCGTTGAAAAAAAAAAACCCACAAATGATTTCAGCTTTTCATTGGAAGAAAACGATCTTTAAAAGCACCAACCCAAAAATTCATTAATCTGTATTTCTCAAAACCATTGCAAATTATTTTATTTAAAATAAGTATCTTTCTTCTGGTTATGATAACCGTCTTTATGTTTGAGTAGCTGTACAAAGGGTTTCAATTCAACAAATCAGTTCACAAGTACCGTGAGTGCATACTGATCCCTGCCACACTTGCCTCACTTTTTCCCACCTGTCCTGCTCCCTGCATTCCTCCAAGTCACATCTGGTCCATTTTTACATATGCCCATTGAGTATCATGATGATAATGATGACATGCATCTTTCATTCTACAAGGATATAGCCTCTCCACCTTAAATCAGGGCTAGACACCTATCATTTCTCATTAATGTGGCCTAAAGGATTTCCTTCTGTCTACTCAGACAGACCTAGCTGCTTCCCAGACCTAGCTGCAAGCTTGAGTTCCCAGTGGGCTGCAGAGAAGAAGGGATGGCTGTGGTCAAGTTCAGGATGGCGAGGGTCAGGGTGGTAACCCAGGGGCTTTTCCTCCTAACACCCCACTCTTTGTCTTCCTAACTGTCTGCCCCAGGTCAGTTTTGCTTGGTATATTCACAAGTACTTATGAGGTTAACACAGGACTAACATAATGCTCAAAAAATTAGGACCCAAGCCGAGTGCTTGTGGTTCACACCTGTAAGCCTAGCTCCTTAACAGTCTAAGATCCAAGGATCAATGCCAGTCCAGGCAGGAAAGTACAGGAGGACACTTATCTCCAATTAACCACTAAAAAGTTGGAAATAAAACTGTGGATCATATGGTAGAGAACCAACCTTGAGCAAGTAAGCTAAGGGAAAGTGACCCAGGCCCCAAGTTCAAGTCCTGAAATTGGCACAAATAGAAAATCAAGGACCAAGCAAGAAGCCTAGCAATGAAGCCAAAGTATTTAAATGGTAGGCGTAGAGATATTTACATATGTAACCATTTCATTTTTTCTACATTCATAAAAATCTAACTGAATATTAACACCGATCAAAACAGAGAAACAATAAAAAAAAGAAAAGAAAAACAGAGAAACAATTGTGTCAACAAGCCCATGCGCATGGCTCTCCAAATGCGGTCCGCCATGTTCTTTTCCCAAGCCCAGCCTGGGCTCACCCTGTTCCCTTCCTCACACCGCGTGACCATGACGATGACTGTGGCTTTTTGTTCCCAGATCATCCTCCAGAAATCATCAACGGTTTCATCCCTGGGACCTGAGAGTCCAACGAACGTGAGGTGAGACATACTTTCTTCCAAGGTAAGGAAATGATTTTTCAAGAATAATTTTAAAATATCAAATGAATTACCTTGTGCAGCAATGTATTTCCTGGGTTCTTTGAAGCCCTGTTTCAAACACACAGAGATCAACTGTCAATCCTTCATTAATGTGAAAAATTGTGAGCTAGAAGAAGTTGGTTGAGATCGGCCATTTCTTGCCTGTAATTTTTCCTGTTATTTTATTATTAAATAATAATAACAAAATTATGAAAGGGATGAGAGGAGACATTTCACTGTCTCAAACAGGTTAGTTAACATTTGCAAGCAACATTCATAAGTTCCATGCATTTTTTTTGTTGCTGTACATTTCATTCTCATCTGGGATGGTGAAGCAGTTTACCAGAGTATTCCAGATACTGCCATATTTAATATTCCTCCAGACATTACCGAGCAACCTGCCACTATCTAGGCCTTCCTGCCAGTCCTGTGGTTACCCTGTGGATCTGTACGCAATTTCCTCCATTACACTCCTCTGGGAGTTTAATTAATTAATTAAGCCCTCTACTTCTTAACTGCCAATGGAATATACGAATTCTTTAGTGTCCTTCTATGTAATTCCAAGAACGTGGAAACACAAGTTTTACTTCATCACCTATCATGTCTGCTTCTGTCACTAAGATAGACAAGGAGCACAGAGAACATATACTAATTTGTTCCAGAACTACCTCCCAAGTGTTAAATTTTCCTGAGTAGTAAGCAAAGAGAAAGAGATGAGCTTTGCCAATGAATGAAGATTTACATGGGAGCCACAGAATTCACAACTAGTTTCATGTTCATGAAATTTCCTGAGTGGCTACAATAGATCGAGTCCCTACCTAAAAGCTGAAGAGAGTTGCTTTCCAGGGGCTCATGGTAGAGAAACAAAATGATGACCGGATCCCATAGCTACTATTTATACTTGAACAGAAATGGTAGGTTAGTATTGTTCCCAGAAACTATCTAAATCCTTTCAAAAGCTCTCACGTTACTTATTTTCAACCTTTTTGATTCTGAAATTTAAAAAATCCTTATCTTTAAGTAGTTGTACAAAGGAGCTGCCATTCACCAACGCAGCGGATGAACGCAGCGTGTCTTGGTCAATATCTCCTTTCTCATCGCGCTCCACCCTCTACACTGAACTTCCACTGCATTCCCCCCTTCCTTCTCTTCAGATCCCCCCCTCACTTGACACTTTCCCATCCCACCTGTCGCCTGCTGCTTGCTTTGTTGAACGTTGATTTTGCCCTTTAAAGAATTACACTGAGTTTTTCCCCAGAATCAACTGTATTACAGTCAATAGGTGTGTGTACAGTAATCCCTCTGTGCCGTCCCTGCTCACTTCTCCAGCAAGTGCAGTCCTGGGGCTCTGTGGGGCAGAAGCGGTATTCCTCTAGAAACACACGCACAGAGCACTCCTTCACGACCTAGCACTTAGCAGGCACCCGAGGATGCTCATTTTAGCATAATTTTGTTTTGTTGGTGTTTTTTTTTTTTGGCAAGAGGAAAAATCTTAGGCTGCACCTAGGTTGGATGTGCATATACTAAATTACTGTTCTGGTAAATACAGATAATTGTGTTGTGTGTCTTAACGATGACAGGGGCTTTACTTCAACACGTTTGTACTAATTCCTCCAAAATTCTGCAAAGACAAGGAAGGGGCCGAATGGAGTGCCTAGCTACAAGTAGAAGGAGAACTGTCAAGGGTGAAAGGGGAAGGTAGAAACAGACTGTGGCCGTTGTACTCACATCAATATAGCTGGCATTTATGTAGTTTGACCCTGCATCTCCATTTATTTCAGAGAGTTCAACCCGGTTATAATCATCTGTTCAGACAAGGAAAAGAGGAAGAGGCTGGTGAAAGACTGGGCAATGCAGCAGCCTGAACAGCCAAGGTCACTTGTCCACAAGTACTCACAAGGGAGGATATCCACATAGCGGTTCTTATTCAGGTTGAAAGGCTTACGGGCATCTTTGATGGAAAACTTGCTGAACACTCGAGGAATGCTCTGGAAGACACAAAGAGTCTTTGGGTTGCAATAGATTGCGGGAAAAGGGTTTTCCCTTTGCCAGTGAACACTCCGAATCAATCACACATCCCGCAAAACGTTTCCTTTACACTGATAAACAACTTGCACGTGGCCGTTAAAGTGGAGGGTCTTGGGAATTTTGCAAAAATAATTACTGGGCTTCCTAAAAACAGAAAATGATGAATTACTTTTGGAACAGAGCTTGTCAAAAACTGTTCAGTTTAGAACATGTGGCTGTGTCACGTTAAACTTCATTCAATGATGGGAGCTCAGATATTTATCTAGAGTACAAGTACAAAATGAGCCAAATAGGTTCTGTGAGAGATTTGACCCCAATGAAGTAAGACATTCCAGCAACATAGCTACTAGCTTCAGACTATGATCTTGTCAAACTCTTATCTGCCTTGGTAATATTATTGTCTGGAATAATGTATGAAGGCAGTGGCTTGGGAGTTAGGCTTCCGTGGTTGGGAAGATCAGGATAGAAAGTGGAGGACAGGGCACCTGGCAGACAGATGGCCCAGCAGGGCGCTTCTTCCCAAAATGCCTTGCACTCCCACTCAACCTGTGGCAAGGACTGGATCAGCACCTGCCCAGCCATCCAGGAACGGGGCACAAAGCCCAGAGGAGGAAGGGGAAGAGTCTACCATTACAATAACTGCTCTCAGACAGGGCTCCACTGGACTTCCATATCTGGGTCATCTCCACAGAGAATCTACTTTTCTGTCTTTCTTTCCCTTTCAAATATACTTCTTCTGTCCGCCTTATTTACAAAAAGAAAAATAAAAAAGCAATGGCTATAGAAATGTACATGCAATGTTACTGTCCTGATGACTGAACTGATTCTCATGTCCTAGGCCAAGGACACAGCGTACCTGAAATTCAGCCAGGAAAAGCCGGCCCTCATCCGCAATCTTTCTTTTGTAAGTTTCCAACAAAATATCGCCATGAATGGCCTCCACGTCCATCAGCTGCTTTTCATCATCTGTAGGGAGGGTGATGATTCAAAACCAGTAGCATGGCCACCACAGCCGACACACAGGTTAATTTCAGAAAATCAGCAGCTTGGATTGAACCCTTCGCCTCTTTCTCTCCTCACAAATGTTCTGGCGGGGAAATCTCATTCCCAGATAAATGAGTATTTACTTATAAATCACTGTACCCGAAATCTTCTACTTCAGTCTTCTCCTGGCTTTGTATGGTGACCTTTACTAGAATATATCTCCCCATTGTCTACGACTTAGAGGAAATCCAAGGCCAAATATTGCCATGATGAGCACATCCATTTCTTCTTACATTTTACTTAAGTTAACTATATCTTTTCTTTTTGATATTTTTATTTCTGCCTTTGCTCATGAGCGATTGTAAATCAAGACAGAATAGTGTTCAAGAAAAGTCATGTACACTTACCCCTTTCAACGAGCTCCTGTTGTTCATCCAAATTGCTGAGAAAATAGCAGATGTAAGTTTCTATATTTGTAACACACATTGAATTTAGTTGACATTCAATTTAATTGAGCTAATTTTCTTTAATGAATGTATGAAGGAAAGGAGGAAATGGAAGCAAGGTGGACAGAAGGAAAAGAGGAAGGGAGTAAAACAGAAGGAGTGAGAGATGGGAGAAGAAGGAGGAAGGAGAAGGGAGTTAGAGGGAACTAATAAAATGAAAGAGAAAAAGGCAAACAAGAATTCTTTACCAAATTCAGATACATGACTAAATAACTTTGTGTGTGTGTGTGTGAGAGAGAGAGAGAGACAGAAAGAGACAGAGAAAGACAGAGAAACAGAGAGACAGAGACAGAGATGGAGTGTACGTGTGTGTGTGCGTGCGCGCGCGTGCACGCGCGCACTGCGGCTTGAACTCAGGGACTCACACTCTTGCTTAACTTTTCTGCTCAACTATTTCTTGCTCAACTCTTTCTGTTACTCTACCACCTGATCTTATCTCCACTCCTGTCATTCTTCTTGTTAACTGGAGATAAGAATCTCTTAGATTTATTTGCCCACTTCTGGCCTCCCACCCACCTTGATCTTCAGATCTCTGCCTCTTACTTGTTTTAATCCTCCCATTTTTCTTAATATATTGCTCTTCTTGGGCAAAAAATAAACATACTTTCCTGCTATTTCCCTCTTTTCTTTTAGTTCAGGCATTCCCAAATTCCTTCAATCCAATTTGCTTAGTAAGTCCATAATCTCACTAGTAAGTATAGAAGATATGAACACATAGTATACACCAGTAACACAACATTCAAAGTCTTTAATCTACAATTCTGTTCTGTAGTCATCTGTAGGTCACATCTTAATCTTGTTCTGTTGCTGCCTGTGGAAATAAACTTATACCATTACTACAACCCTTATTTTAAATTAACAAGTCAACCCTTACCTGGATCTTTTCTTATGCAGATCATAGATTTTATAAAGTACAAAAATGAGGGCTATTGATGTCACAATAATCAAAAAAGCCAGAAATATAATCAATGCTTTGGAATTATCTAAAAATAGAAAAATAAGAGAATGGAAGATAAAAATTATGATTAATTATCCTTTACAAACTCATAACAATGTTTTTCATTTATTGTGGAGTTTTTAAAAATTAAAAATTTTACCATAAATCCAATTTCCTGATTCTGGAATTTTATTCAGAATCCAGGAAAGCATTTGCTGCTAATGAGAGTAATTAGAATATCAGAAAGCGTTCCCTTTTCCTTCAGTTAAATAATGCCCTATTCTGATATACCATAATTCAGAATTAATTCTCTTTTAGTCATTCCACTCTAAAGGGATCATGAGGCAAGCTAGTTATTATCATTTTCAGAGACAAATATCATGTAACTCAAATTTATGAGTAGAAGAAGCAAAAGACATCTTGGGCAATCAGAAATGTTTCTGCCTCACAAGATAAGCCCTCCCTACCAAGAAGCAAAATTATTTCACTTGATTGGGAAGATAAAACTAGTCTGGACCTAAATTTTCACTGTGGTTCAATGTTAACTCATATCCTTTCTTAGGGTAAGGGCAGAGAAAAGGCTGTGTGTTGGAAATATCTTAATTTGAATTACATTTCACACTTGGTTCTTATCCACAGCAAAATACATCCAAATCATACAGTGACTCAGCAGCCTCATCTCCAGAACCAAATGGTTCAGCTGTCACTCATACACCAGCGCTTCCTCTCTGGGAAGCTGGCTGGCATCCTTAGTCTGTTTGTACTTGTGTTCCTTAATTCCTGAAATGATGGTAAATAACTTGCTTCATAGCAAACTCTAAGTACAGTGTCTAGCACACAGTAAATACTAATTTCTTAATGTTTAAAACACACTACTGAGTTTTATTATCTGTCAAACATTGTGGTGAACAGGCCAAAAAAATGGGATACAAAATCAACATACAAAAAGCAGAAGTTCTGTCACACAACAGCAGAGAATCGCTTGTAACAGAAACCAAAGAAGAAATCCAATTTAAAATGACTACAAAAATAGCTAGGACAAAGTATAACCAAAAAGATGAAGAATATCTACAATGAAAATAGTAAAAATATTGATGAAAATAATTACTGAGGACACAAAATACTGTAAATCATCTACGCTCAGAGAGTAGAAGAGTAAATATGGGTCCATACTACCATAAGCAATCTGGAATTCAAGGCAACCTCAAATCAAAACACCAAGAACAGTATTCACAGAACTAGAAACAGCAATTCTAAAGTTGATATAGAACCACCAAAAAAAGTCCAAATAGCCAAGGTCATCTTGAGAAAATTAAACAAAACAGGAGAATTACTTTCCAGAGTTTCAAAATACATTATTTACAAAGCGGTAATGATTTCTTGCTGTATGACTATCTCAAATTACTTTTACAAAACTGTTAATTTATACCAGTGATTAGTGTTATGAATATATGTGCATATATATACCATGTATATGTATATATCAATATGTGTGTGAGTATATTTGTGTGTATAAACATGATTGTTTCCAGATCTTGTGGATGAAGATCAACTCAGAGACAAACATCATATTTCATCTTTCTCACGTCAATGATTGAAAAACAAAAACAGGATGCCCTGGAAACACAGAACGGCCTGAAGTGAGACTTTAGAGTCATGGTATCAAATGGGTATAAATGAATGTTGTATCCAGCGTCACTAATTATGATGGATTCTACAAAGATACTAGTTCAGTAAGTTCAATAACAATATATTACTTAATTCTTCAGATATATTCTGCGGTATGAACACAGAAAGACTCCACCTCCTCCAGAAACTTAGGAACAGTGAAGACGTGGAAGTACAGACTCACAGTAACAGACTGAGAGGAGGGAAGTTCACGGCTGAGCAATCTCAGCAAGTTCTGATGAGTGCAAGAGAAAACCGAGGAATCGATCATCTAAAGAGCTTGCAGAACAGGCTAGATGCCATTAACTATATTTCCTGGGTCTCTGGCCTAGGGACAAGATTTGCAGTGGATATGATGCATAGGCCAGGAAATGGTACAGTCAAAGGTCGAGTTGTCTTCATTACTCTTGAAGAGCAGTGTGCTATCATGCTCAGGTATGTCAAGAAAACTACCAGGAGCACTGGGCAGATCTATTGGAAAGTGGTCATTCTCAGGAGCTGAGCATGTGGAGAACGATGTGACATGTGGTGGTTATTTTCATCATTATAAAGACATTTAAATTAAGGGATATTTTAATTTATACCTTCACTTGGATTAAAATATTTCAAATAATGCTACTAGACATTTAAACCGCCATAGTGTTTTGGGGGCACATATATCTTCAATCACAAAAGCCAGGACAAATTCACACACACACACACACACACACACACACACTCACTTTTGACAAGCCAAGTTTCACAAACAGAAGAAAAGACAAACAGAGGTAAAAAGGGAGTAATCTCTGAAACAGGGGAAAAGGGTCATTCACAAAATCAGAATTCATTAGTCCATGTAGCTACATCCTCTTATAATTCCTTTATGAATCTCACAATGGAATCTCTAAATTTGAACCTAAGATATGGCATGTTTAATATGACATTCACCTATCAATGATTTGCCTGAAATTTCTAAATGTTATAGAACTTTGCAGAAGACACACAAGTGACATCATTGAATGTGATCTTGGTTATGAGAGGATCTAGCTGCTAAGGGCTGGCACGGAGGTAAGGAGCAGGTGAGAAGGACTTACAGGATGTGGACTGGTATTTAGTGACTGGAGATCCAGAAAATTCCCCATTGTACACATAGACCTAAACGTCAGCAATCAAAAGCAAACAAATTAGTTTTCCAATGGAAATGTACCTTGCACAATGTGAAACACATGATTTCTTATGTAATACTGTTTACTCTCCTCAAAAAAAGGATGGTTTTCTCTAATGTAAAGCTGAAACAGATTGCCGCTCAACATTTTTGAAAAAGCAGTTGAAAGACACAAAACCACGTTCAATTATTTTTAGTAACGGTAACACAAGCAGCAAAACTAAATAACTAAATACAAATGGATAAAAAAATAAAGTCCAATACATCAAAGACTCATAATTTAAGGTTGATGTTTACTATTAATATGCCAACATTTTCCCATTTTACTCAAAGAAAGGAAATTCAGCCATGTACTAATATGAGGGTTGCACATAAAATGCACATAATTTTGAGTGCAATGGAGGTAGTAAAGTACAAGGTAGATATAATAAACATATATCCCATAATATTTAATTCAAGTAAGGAAAAATAATGCAGACATATAGGAAAACTGAAAGAAATAAACAGGAATGTGAATCTTGGCAAAATATAAATTTTGTGTACAGTAAATCTGAAACTGGAATCCCTTAATGAAAAATGTAAAAAGTGATGCAAATATAGGTGTAAGGTTCTACTTTAGATGTCATGACATTTCTATTATTCACTGAACATTCACAAACTTTTATTCACATTGAGCTAGGAAGCTTCTACATTTTCCAAAACTAGTCAGTTATTAAAAACTCGTAATGAGTAATAACAGAAATTCAAAAACACGCAATGTAGAACACCTTTTCCTTCTCATCATTTTTTTGGTGGGGGAAGGTAGTAGTACTGGGATTTGAACTCAGGGCCTCACACTGGCTAGACAGATGCTTTCCCATTTGAACCAGGCACCCGTTCTTGTGCATTTTGTCCAATGTTGTCCTCTGACTGCCATCTTCCTATCTCTGCCTCCTTCATAGATGGATAATAGATTAAACCACCATCAAGGCTAGCCTCGAACCATTATCTTCCTACCTGTGTCTCTCCTAACACTGGGATTACAGGCATGTACCACCATACCCAGCTAGAAACATTCTGAAACACTTCCAAAACACAAACAAGCCATCAAGCCACAGAATAAGTTTGGCAAAGTCACCATTATTACTCAGAAAGCATTGTGATCTGTGGCACGGGAAGAGCCATTTCCTTTCGATCTGTTAACGATGCTAAGAAGAAACAATTGCTTAAAGCCACAACTCTCACTCCCAGGGGTCACTCTGAACGATCACAATGCCAAGCTGAGACGCACGGGCTCTGCACCTGCGCGCTGATCCTGACGGCACCAGGCACCGGCAGTGTGGTTACCATGTGCACTGGCGCTGCCACGAGCTCACCTGCAGCTCATACTTGGTGGAGTAGTGCAGGTTTTCCACGAGGAACTGGCAGGAGCTGTGAGATTCATTCCTAAGGAGGACGTTCCCGCTCCTGACTTCCAGGCGGTAGATGGTCTTGGGGCCGTTCACCCGGCTCGGGGGCTGGCAGGAGACGGCCATGCTGTTGTCTGACTTCTGAGTGACCGTCATGTGGTTGACCTGGGTAGGCTCTGGCCCGATCAAGATTGGTTCTTTTACTCATTTCATAAATCCATATCAAAACAGCTTGACAGCATATGCACGGTTTAAGGTATTTTAAGTGTAATTTGTATGAGAGTACATATTTGGGGTGGGGGTGGGCTTGGCTGTGTGCTGGGACTGGGACTTGAATTCAGGACCTCACACTCTCATTTGCTTTTTGTTTTTTGTTTTTTTGCTTAAGGCTGGTGCAGCGCTCTACTACTTGAGCCACAGTTCCAATTCGGGCTTTATTTATTTATTTTGCTGGTTTATTAGACATAAGGGTCGCATGGGCTTTCCTGCCTGGGCAGGATTCTAACTGTGATCTTCAGATCTCAGCCTCTTGAGTATCTGGGATTACAGGTGTGAGCCACCAGCTCACAGATGAGAGCACAGACGATTGAGTAAAAGCAGTAACAACAAAATGGTTGAAAAGTAAATCGCCTGCTCACTGTGATACAGAGGTCCTGGAGCCCAGAGGGAAATGCGAGGGGGGGGGGAGGGCCAGGAGGTGAGGGACGGGGTGTGTGGGGAGGTTTGTGACACAACGTCAGATCCGCTTTTCCTCCCTTCCATACACGGCTAGCTGCATTCCTCAGGAGCTGGCAACAGACGCTTCACTCTCTGTGATAGCACAGAAAGTCAGGAACACCAGAACAAAGAGCTCCAAAACCTGGGCTTTTCAAACTGATAACCAGATGACCCGAGGAATGTCTCATTGAAACAAATGATCAAAATCTCAAGTGGATTTCTTCCCTTCCTTCCTTCCTTCCTTCCTTCCTTCCTTCCTTCCTTCCTTCCTTCCTTCCTTCCTTCCTTCCCTTTCTCCCTCCCTCTTTCCCTTCCTTCCTTCCTTCCTTCCTTCTTTTCCTTTCTCTCTCCCTCCCTCCCTTCTTTTCTTCCTTCCTTCCTTCCTTCCTTCCTTCTCCTTGACCACAGTCCTGGACCACTTGAGGTTTCTTGTGATGGCTGCAATAGCAGGCCCATGACACAATGCTCCACTTCTTCCATAGAGATGCAGCGTAACAGAACTATCTATCTATCTATCTATCTATCTATCTATCTATCTATCTATCTATCTATCTATCTATCTATCTATCCATCCATCCATCCTGGTCAGTCTGGAACTGCCTTCCTCCCGATCTCAGCCTCTCACAGCATGTATAGAAGGATGACAGGCATCATGTACCAAGAGGCTCAGCTTGTCTGAGAAGGAGATCTCACCTACTTGCCCAGGCTGGCTCAAACATGAATCCTCCCAATCTAAGCCTCCCAAATAGGTAGGATTGTACGAATGAGCCACCAATCCCAGCTGGCAATGCCTATTTGCTCCAGTCTAAGTTGGTTAGGTGTTCACTTGTCTGAAATCCTACATATTGTACCGATGAACATATCCTTATGCTTTATCCTTACGAATTTTACGGTGATCTGCAGAACACAGAACCACAGAGAGCTGTTTTTATGTTACTTTGCTGAAAATTATTATAAGCTTTGACAGTAAGAAATGCATCCGGCCAATATATTTCTCAAGGGAAGCAAAACACTCATTCTGTACTCCAGGCTATTTGTGGGAATAAGCTTCAAAAAAGACCCAAAAACTCAGAACTTACCATCTGCTTTGGTGTGAGCTGCACATTGCACATCACTTCCATTGCGTTGTACTTTTCCAATGACGTAGGCCTTCAGTGATATGCTGTAGTTTGTAAAGGGGTCCAAGTTTACAAGCACATGTCTTGTGTTGCTGGCTGTCACATTTCTGCATATCTTACTCCCACCTAAGGAAAAAAAATATATATATAGAGAGAGAGAGATTAGAATCATTTTGTAAGTCATGGGAAATCTGGATGGCCAAGAGATGCACTAAAGAAATTCAGTTATAAATGAGAGCTAATATTATATTAATCTGGTACATAAAGTATTGACTTCGTTCCAATATATTTAGAAAGATGGGTTCTTTTCTTTCTAAGAACATATTGCTCCCAGTGCAGACTACAAAACAAGTTATAATGTTTAAGATGATTATTTTCATCATCTTTTTTAATAAGTTTTTTATTGTGAAAATACTGTGCAGAGGGGTTACATGAGCAAGGCCATGAGTACATTTCTTATCAAGCATTGTTGCCTCCCCCTTTGTTTTTCCTCCACCATTCTCCCCTCCCACCTCCAAAATTACACTCCACCTGCCCCTAAATTGTAAAGTTCCTTTTTTCAACATAGCGCCTTCTACCTCTCATTGTTACGAGTCCACCTGTGTCCCTATTTAAAACATTTTGTTTTTTCCCTTCCCCTCCCCCAATTATACCAACATCAAATACAGTGAAAACAGGGGTTATACCATGGGGGAAGAACATACAAAGCAACAAAAAAAAAATACATGGTACCTTATAAATACGTTAGAAACAATAGCAAGAAAGAAAAAATCCACGTGTGTCCCTATCTTGAGGTTCATTTTGCTTAACTTCATCTTGTCTGGTCATACGTACATAGCTTTTGACCTTTTCTACTTGTCCCAGACATATACTAGTTATTGCAAATAAGGGAAACCATGGGGCCTATGTTTCTTTTGGCTTACTTCACTTAATACAATTTTTTCCAAGCCTTTCCATTTCCTAACAAATGGGGCAATGTCATTCTTTCTGATGGAGGCATAGAATTCCATTGTGTGTATATATATATATATAGGTCATCTCTTTTCTTAATCTCCAATTTTCCTTAATCTCCAATTCTTAACTCTCCACGGAAGCACAGTTACTGTACTCCATTTGGTTGCCAGTGGGAGATCCATGCTACCAAACTAAGTTAAGCACTGTAGGACGTCCTGGGGCGGGAGGGTGAGCAACACTTTGCTCCAATACAGCAATCAGAGTTGTTCACTTTGAAAGACAGTGAAGCTGAACGGGTTCAAGGAGAGGACAAAATGCCGGCAGAGAAGGAAGAAACTGTTTCGAGTTTAGAGACCTGCTGGCGAGCACACAAGATTCTGGACGGGCATTCAAAGAAGAGCAAGAGACTTATTTCAACATATTCTAACATTTCAGCAGAAGAGTCTGCTCTGCTAAGCAAGGCTCACTGCGCACGGACATTAATGATTAGTCAGATGAAGTAACAACAACAAAACAAAGGATAAAACATGTTAGAGAGGGAGTAGGTCACTATAAGACTAGCACTGAAATCGCCAAAATCTCCAGTGTATTTTCCTTACACCCTCCCTCCCTCCCTTCCTCCCCTCCCTCCCTCCCTTCCTTCCTTCCTTCCCTTTATTCCCTTTTTCTCTTTTTCTTTTGCCTTTTCTCTTTCTTCTTTCCCACTCTTCCTCTTTCAATTCCTTCCTGCCTCCCTCCCTCCCTTTCTTTCTTATATTTCTTTCTTTCCTCTTCTTCCTTCTTCCCTCCCTCTTTCTTTTTCTATTTCTCTTTCTTTTTTTTTTTTTTTGTAAATTGTGGGGCTTGAACTCTGGGCCTGGGCGCTGTCCCTGAGCTCTTCAGCTCAAGGAGAGTGCTTTACCACTAGAGCCACGGTGCCACTTCCAGTTTTCTAAGTGCTTTATTGGAGATAAGAGACTCACAGACAGTCCTGCCCAGGCTGGCTTTGAACCATGACCCTCAGATCTCAGCCTCCCAAGTAGCTAGGATTACAGACGTGAGCCAGGGTGTCTGGCTCTTTTTCTATTTCTTATTTCCCTTCCTCCCTCCCTTTCTCACTTTCTTTTTTCTCTTTCCTTTCTTTCTTCCTTCTTTGTTTCCTTCTTTTCCTTTTTCTATTTCCCTTTCCTTCCCCCTCTCTTTATCTCTCCCTCTATCTCCCTCCCTCCTTCCTTCCTTTCCTTCTAGCTGGCCTCCAACTCTCAGGCCCCTTGCCTCATATTGGTTGTTTCTTATTCATAATATTTGACTTGAAAACTACATGTCTATGAACTCCATATGACGTCTTTGTTCAGATTTTAAACACGGGGGAGGGGTATCTTATGAAAAGATGAACTGACAGGTATCAGGCTGGGGCCTGGTTGTTGTCTTTTCACACTGCACACCCTGAGGGCGACACCTGGCTGCTTTCCACCAAACACAGAGAAGGAAATGGGGGAGATGCTCCCTCCGCCCTTGGCCCGTGGAAACGGGATCAGAGAGGAGGCTGTCTCCAGAGACCCAGGACACCTCACAAATGCCCACTGCTTTCTACAAACATTCTAGATACTTTACCTTGTTCAGGGGATGTTTGCTCTCTTATATAAATAACCTCATCTAATGATTTCAGGTTTGATCTAGCCATAGCTTAATTGCTGCAGTAGTCTAACCATAAACAAAACCCACCCAAGATCCCACTAAACTGATTGCCCTGTCTAATCCATACGTCCATCTTTATTCACCTAGTATTAGGTGAGTAACTACTACTGGAGTTAATACACACTGGGTGTATTGGGTGTATGAACTAATAGTAAATTCTGGAAGAAGTGTGGGGGTTTTGCTTGCTGTCTGACAGCTTAGATGAAGAATTCAAGACAGGACAAATGGTTTCAATAACATCTGCAGACCGAGATGGATGTTATCTGTCAGGGACTTTCTTTCCCACGTGCTGCAGCATGAAGGCTGGCCGTGAGACAGGTTCAGATAAATAAACAGGCATTAGAGAAGTGCTGGAGTTCTCTTACATTTGGGGCTGGAAAATCCCTTTAGGAGTAAAGGCAGGTCAGAAACTAAGGCAAATCAGGGGCCTTCACAGACTCTGTGCCAGAACTCTGGCTGAAGAAATTAATCCAAATTGAAATTCTTGGTTTTCCTTTCCTGGAATTAAGCTCTGCACAGTTATTACCTGACTTATTCTGATAACATAATATAAATCCGTGGGGTAAATTTTGAGGCTGTGTCCAGGTAACAGATACTTCGCTTGCACTTATGGCGGAACAAATAAGATTCTTAGGCTTTTCTGGAACTGTTCAAAGAAAAAGAATAGGTAACGTCAAAAATAAGGCAGGAAACGAATCATCTTTACACAGCAAACCTTCATTGGTAACAGCTGTTGTGAATGAAGAGTGAGGTTTATGGAAAGCTATTTGGATTCATTAGATTTGCTTTAACGATCCTAGAAGGGTTACTTCAGAGTGGACCCCCAGCATTTATAACTTGAAGATACATAAGAACCACCCCCTGCTCTTGTACGTGTTATTGTCCCAGTGCTGACATTTCTAGACCTTCTACTAGAAAAATCTATGACATTACATCATCATTCAACGGTCAATGTCTAGTTGAGCTGTTTCCAGAAGGGAGGTTCTATGACCGGATCTTCATTGTCTCATGAACATTTATGTTTCGAGAAATATCCAGAATATTACTGAGTCATACCTCACATCCTTGCCGACATTCTTGTTAGTCTTTCAAATTGTAGCTTTCTTTGATTTGTAATATTACCTTCAGATGGCTCATGTCATTGCACATCTTTTTATATTGGTTATTAGTAGCTTCTTGCATAGAGTGCATATACAACCTATTTGCCTATTTGTATTTTATTGTAACTAGTTGTACAAGATTTTCCGTTCCAGTCAGATCATGAAGGTCATCCCTTCCGTCAGTCTCCTCTGTCCTTCCCAATTCTAATTGCCTTTTTTTTTTCATTGCACTGTTGGATGGTTTATTTTGTAGCTGAAAATGCTCTCCATCTATCTCTGAAAATCAGTTGTGGATATTTCCTCACTACCTCTGGCTAGTTTTATTTACTTAAAAGAGGAAGAAGGTTCCATTTTGATGAAGTCCATCTTACCGAGTAGTGAATGAGTCTTCTTCCTTTTTGTTTATTAGGAAAGTTCTGCCTACATTAAAGACATCAAGATGTTCTCCTGTGTCTCTGATGAAATATTTTTATATCATTTTAGCTTATGGGTCTATGGAACTTTTTGAGTAAATTTGTGAGTTTATTGAGAAGCAAGATGTGATGTCCACTATTTTTATAAGTCTATCAATCAGGATAATTTATTGGCGTGATTCCCCACTATCCCCCTCTTCCACTGTAAAGCTTGGTTATCTAGGATTTCTAATTCTCTATATTGGTCTACTCTATCAGTATATTTGTTACATTGCCTTATAGACCATTTTAATCTTAGTACTTTTAATACCCCACAAATATTTCTATTTTTAGTTTTGTTGAGGGTATGATTTTATATGGTTTTATTTGCTCTTCTTATTTTATTTTGGAGCATTCCGGGGAGACCTAGATTTAGGCATGCCCTTTGTCATCAGCTAGCCCTTGCTTACAAAATTTGAATCATTTTGGCATGTTTTATCCAAAGTCTGGCAATCTTATATTAAATATGTCAGCTCTGCAAAGTTTGATTGCAAGATCAATATAGAAAAGTCAATCACATTTCTATCTTCCATCAATGAACAATCTAAAATGAAATTTAAAAAATAATGCTTCCCATAAACAGGAATAGACTTAAACTAGGGATAAATTGAACAACAGAAGTACAGAGTTTAAAACTACAAAGCATCCTGGATGCAAATCAAAGAGGATCCATAGAAAGGTACTTCATGCCCTCCACCTGAAAGAGTAGCTCTGCTCAGCACCATGCTCCCCAATTGATAGACAGATGCAATTGCAGCCTCTATCACAATCCCAAATGGGTTTTGTAGATGTTCAAAAAGTGTTTAAATTTCTCTAGACATGTACCTAAAATCATGTAGAAATTGAAAAATTGTCTAACAAACTTATCTAGAATTGGAGCACATCTTTATAGTCTAAAGAATATGGAAGAAGAATAAATGGAATGACACAATTCTCAGCTTCAAAAGTTACTATGAAGCAATAGTAAGAAATAGCCTAGAGGTAGTATCAACAGATGCATGGAAACTGAAGGTCTACAGGCAAACGTATCATAATGATCCACTACATTTTGGCAAGAATGCCAAAATCACTCCATGGGGGCAAGATTCCTGTTTTGTTTTGTTTTTAACAAATGATGGTAGGACAACAGAACAGTTATACATAAAGAGTGAAATTGAGAAGTTACCTCACCCATCTCTAACTGTTAATTAACTGAAAAGGAGTAATACAGCTAAATGTAAGAGAGAATGCTATAAAATTCTTAGAAGAAGAGGTGAAGGTAGATCTTAACTTTTGATTTGGTAATGCACTTTTAGAGATGAGAATGTCCTCTGTTCTGTGTAATCGTTTCAGTAAGAATGATCTGTTTGTCAAATGTTTGTACAACTTGTCTGCAAAGCTACTTTTCTATCGTTGCTTAATTGAGGTTCATTCTTGAGCCTCACTTCTGCTAAGCAGCATCCCCTGTTGAGCTACCCTACAGCTTTAATTCCAATTAATTTATTCTTCCTAGGTAAATGTGTTTAGAAAAGTATACACTTTAACGCTCAAATCAGATGCCTTAAACTTGTAGAAATGCTATTCTACTTTTCATCTAATCTTTATGGAATCATTCACATATCCAGTTGTCTGTGCTGTACTGTCACACATAGAATTAGCTGATTTTTCTAGAAAATTCGACATCGATTTGGAATCTCTATATGTCTAAAGGATATTGGAACTTAGGGCTCTTTTTATTCCTATTCCCTTCTACTTTTCTAAATGTTACTAATTTCTAGAAGTGTAGTTTACAATTGCTATTAAGAATGTTATTGTGTTACTTACTATCTTCCAAGACTGGGACTCAAACTCACTGTCTAATGCTTTATACTCCTTGGTAGGGGCCCTACCACCTGATCTACATCTCCAATCCATAGACTATAATTTGAACCAAAAACACAGAAATTTGGGCCATATATAATCTGTGTGTGTACATGCATGCGTGTGTGTGTCTGTGCGTGTGTGTCTGTGTGATTGTGTACATGCACACATGCATGCCAGTACTGGGGCTTGAATTCAGAACCTCATGCTCTCATTTTGCTTTTTCGCTCAGGACTTGAGCTCTACCACTTGAGCTTCATCTCTACTTTTAGTTCTTTTGGTGGTTAATGGAAAATGAGTCTCATGAGCTTTTCTTCTCTGGCTAGCTTCAAACTGCAAACCTCTGATCTCCCTGAATAACTAGGATTACAGGCATGAGCCACCATGGCCTGTCTTATCATTTATTTTTTAATTCAACTTTAAAAAATTAATTTTAAAAAGTGTTGTCTCTTTTCTGAAATCCTTTCTTTGGTCTATACCATTATTTCTTGTGACTCTCAAAAAAAACTGCAAGAAAATAAAAGGGAAAGCAATTCTACATATAAGCAAAATACTCACTCCCCAAATCCGTTGTAATAGCTTTAGTTTGGTTGATATACTTGTAATTATTATAGAATATTTCTGCACCACAATTGTAAGTTTTATTGGGAAGAAAGGCTGTAAACATAGTGCTTTCCGCTGAAGATGTCCGGGAAACATTGTCTGAAAGAAAGAATTACATATGAGTACATTACTATATTACGTATACCTTTATTTTCTGAGTGCTTATAATTGCACCATACTCATTAGGTTAAAACCTAAGCAAAGGGTCCAAATAATAAGTCAAAGATCTTTAAAATTATTCTGTTACAATCAACATTTAAGACCATATTTAGCAAGTATCATAATTCATTTAAGAGGGTCCCTAAATGAACTGATAAAATACAGCATCAGTTCAATCATTAGTAGTCTTTCTTCAAAGCTGATATTATAATTTGCATTTCATAGAGACTGATTGTTCTGTATGTGTGTTCTGTATGTGGGTCTGTGTGTCTGTGTTGTGTGTATGTGTGTGCATGCATTCATGAGCACATGCACGCACCAGTCCTAGGGCTGGACTATAGGGCTCAAGAGTAGCACTGTACCACCCGAGACACAGTTCTACTTCTGACTTTTTTGTGGCTAACTAGAGATAGGAGTCTCACAGAGTTTCCTGCTCAACTGGCTTTGAACTGTGATCCTTAGATCTCAGCCTCTTGAGTAGCTGGGATTACAGGCTGGTTTATCTTAAATAGGTCATTTTAAGGATCTATCTCAAATAGATCACAGAATTGCAGTGTGCCATACATGGTTTTTTTCCTCATACTCTGATTTTCCTCATACTCGATGGATCATAGCCATGTCATAGCCTTATATCTCCTCCTTAGCATAGCAATTGCAACCCATGCCACACTCCTTTCTGTGTGTATATGCTTACACACATCTATTTTACCAAATATGGTGCTACAAGTGGTTGCATGCCACAAGCTAGAAAAGCCCACCTCATCATTTTCAAATACATTGAAATGGAAATGTTGCAGCTATTGGCTCTCTCACCACAAACCCAAGTTCATCTCTAGAAACACTTGCTGTTTTCCTGTTACACATGCTCTCAAACTTGTGTCTGAATTTTGTGGATGGAACCATGGAATCTCATCTTTTATTTTCTTTCCTAGAAGAGTATTGCAACCATCCATATTTCTCCTTCCTTCCTTCCTTCCTTCCTTCCTTCCTTCCTTCCTTCCTTCCTCCCTTCCTTCCTTTCTTTCTTTCTTCCTTTCTTTCTCTCTCCCTCTTTCTTCCTTTCTTCCCCCCTCTCTCTTTCTTTTGCTGCCAGTCAGGGGGCTTGAACTTGGAGTCTGGACACTACTCTTTGCTCAAGGGTAGCACTCTCAACCACTTTGAGCCAGGGCATCACTTCCAGTTTTCTGGTGGTTCATTGGAGATAAGAGTGTCCGGACTTCCTGCTTGGTCTGGCTTTGAACTACGATCCTTGGATCTCAGCCTCCTGGGTACTAGGATTACAGGTGTGAGCCACCAGTGCCTGACTTGCATCATTCTTTTATGATATTCCTCCCACATCATCTCCTCAATAAGGTTTGAAGCGAAACAACTATTAGGAAAATTCTTTCATGAGCTTTTAATTTCAATTTTACTTTTCAGGATATTTATCTACTGGAATTTCAGTGTTGTAGTCAACACATTCCCTGGACTCCAAATATACAACAGGAAAAATTTATAAAAAGAGGCAGAGGTGAAGAGCAATGTCAGAATATCTTTCTACCACCAATCTTCTCTGAGCCGTGTGTTATGCTTACCACACCAAAATGTGTATTTGAAGTTGCTTTTGTTACAAGCAAATGTGCCATTTATGTCCCACTTTAACCAGATGGAAGTATCTGCATCTTCCTTCGGTGTATGCTCACATAACCGGAACCTTTCCTTCTCTGTCAAGAGAACACAGAAATAGATTTGGTTAATATTCCCCAGTATGAAAGTACTATCATTTCCCAAATGAAGTGCAGAAATTATCCTCAGGAAACAAAAGTTAGTAAGCATTGAGGTGGTTTTTGACAAAGTTTAACAATTCTCCAACCTTGATGTTTCTTCGTTACTTGATTTCTTATGGTTTTCAGTTTTCCTTTCTGAAATGGACAAAACTGGACATGCAGTGGGTCAGAATGGGGACAGAATGGACCCTGCCTACAGGTGTACACCAGGTAATGAAGAACGCAGGGCACCTCCCATGTCGGTGACTTTCAACACTCACCATGCAACTTGGAGAACAGTGCTTATTGCGTGTTAGCCCCAGACATTTTGACAGCATTTCACTTAGGATTTGTGAAACTGACCGTTAAATAAGATAGCTTCTCACACTCTAAAACATTCCCTTTTCTTTTAACTTCGTAGGCTCATATTTTGTTAGGTCTGGTTTTAATTGAATCATTGTTACATCGAGTCTTAGGGGCTTCCCCCTTGGGGAAGAGATTTCTCTCAGGAGCCATTATCAATGTCAGCAGTATGCAGGGAAAATGAGCAAATTAGATGAATGTTTACAAAACACATCACATTTTAACATAAACAAATGTGAATAAGTCACAAATCTTGAATTATTAAATGATGTAAATGAATTTAAATAACTGCACAGTGTCTGCATTCCTTTTCTGAAAGGCATTTTTCTAAGATGTTCTGTCAGTTCCCCAGCCCTGGGTAGATAGATGCTGCTCATCACTCCTGGCCCCTCCCCTCCCAGAAGTGGCTGAATTGACAAAACTAGCTCCACCCCTTTAATATGACTGTGATGTGCAAGAATTCTGGTTCTTTCTATAAACATCAAATCCCAAATGAGTTCATTTATACATATATGTACACTGAATCACCTAGTAGCATAAGCTTTATCGTGTGTGTGTGTGTGTGTGTGTGTGTGTGTATGTGTGTGCATGTATGTATGAATCTCTTTGTGAAAGAACTTAACAGGGTGACTAACATACCAAGGGAAGGCTTGTATTACGTCCATGTTCTCCTGGGTTGAGGTGTTCAGAGACCCACCCTGTTCCTCACAGCTAACTCCCTGCCGTCAGAAGTACTTTCCTGCCACTTAGAACCAACTTCTATTTCTTTAGATCTCACTTCCTGCCAGTCAGAGCTCTGCTCCACCAGCTCCTGGGGTCCCCCAGAATACACACACGAACCTGCACTCTTTCTGTAAATATGCAACTAGAAATTGATTTCTACTTACTTGGGGGTACATGTAATGTTAAAGACGTAGGTGGATAACAAGAGTCATCATCTACTTCAATGTTTTTTGATGAGCATTCAGTCAGGCCTTGTAAACTCTCTTTGCAGTTCTTTGGCTTACATTTTACATCTCTAGGAAAATTTAGGTTTGCCTCAAATGATGAAGTAGTTTTGTTATATTGGTATTCCACAGGTCTGTTCTTATATCTGTCATCTGAGAGAAAAGACAAGATTATTCTTTAAGACTAACTGAAACTATTTTAAAAACAAATGTTTTAATGTACATACCTAAATATCTGTGGATATATATTGATATAGATATGTGTATTGATAGTTGATAGATAAAGAGGAAGAGGAAGAGTGAGGGGGGTCTGCTGGTACTGGGGCTTGAACTCAGGACCTCACACTCTCACTTGGCTTTTTATTTTTCTCCAGGTTGGTTCTCTACCACTTGAGTCACAGCTCCACTTCCAGTTATTTGGGTGGTCAATTGGAGATAAGAGTCTCATGGACTTTTTGCCCAGGCTTGCTTCAAATTACAATCCTCAGATCTCAGCCAACTGAATAGCTAGGATTACAGGCACACGCTACCAGCACCATTTAAAATATTATGTAATTGATCAAGATGCACTGTATGTAAAAACTGCTTCATTTAATAGCAGCTCCTTTGTATAACTACTTAATGATAATAAACATATATTTATTTAAAAATAGGATATTATATTACTACCAAAATACTCTTAGAAATGTAAAAATTATTTTTAAAAATCTATATGTCTCAGGTACCTCCCTATCATTATTTTGTAGTTTCTTTTATCTATTCAAGACCTCAGCCTGCAACTTATATTTTCATCGTTACTGAATGAACACTCCCTGGGAGCCAAGACCACTGTGTGTGTGTGTGTGTGTGTGTGTGTGTGTGTGTGTGTGTGTGTGACAGAGAGAGAGACAGAGAAAGACAGACAGCAAGAGTGTGAGTGCAGGGCCTGGGCACTGTCTTTGAGTTTTTCTTGTTCAAAACTAGTGCTTTACTGCTTGTGCCACAGCTCCATTTCTAGCGTCTTAGTGGTTACAGATAAGAGTCTCAGGGAATGTCCCATCCGGGCTGAATCTGATCCATGATCTGAGGATCTCAGCCTCCTGAGCAGGTAGGACTATAGATGTAAGACAGCAGAAAGCTGCCAGGTTAGACTAGTCTCTTTGCCCATCGTTAGAAATACAAATCCATGCATAGTATCTACGATTAATAAGAGCTCACTGATAACTTATTGAACTGATGCCCGGTGCTACAGCAGGCAAATTTCTTCTTACACAAGAATCTCCCTTTGGGACTGGGAAGGTAACTCAGTGGTAGAGCACTTGCCTTGCATGCCTGAGGCCCTGGGTTCGATTCCTCAGCACCACATAAGCAAAAAGAAAAAAGCTGGAAGTGGTGCTGTGGCTCAAGTGGTAGAGTGCTAGCCTTGAGCTGAAGAGCTGAGGGACAGCGCCCAGGCCGAGTTCAGGCCCCATGACCGGACCCAAAAAAAAAAAGAATCTCCCTTGGGCTCTAAAATGTAGTTATAAACCATTTCTCCAACTATTTTGGTTATCAGTTTTTCAGTCACCATAGTCCCTCTTTCAAAAGCTTTATTTATATAAGATTATCATTGATAGTTAATAAACCCATCTAGACACCTTTATTTAGGGCAATAATTTCCCCTAGGTGATCAAAGTATCTTTTTTAACAACTATTAATGTATTACACAAAAATAGCCATTTTTATTTTACAACAATTATGAGACCATTTTTGCATTTAAGTCACTGTCCCAGGCATTAGAAATACACAGCACCACTTGCTGGGAGCCTGTGGCTCACGCCTGTAATCCTCACTACTCAGGAGGCTGACATCTGAGGATCGTGGTTCAAAGCCAACCCAGGCAGAAAAGTCCATGAGACTATGATCTCCAATAAACCACTAGAAAATTGGAAGTGGCGCTGTGGCTCAAGTTGTAGAGTGCTTGCCTTGAGCTGAAGAGTGCAGGGACAGCACCCAGGCCCAGAGTTCAAGCCCCACAACCGACAAGAAAGAAAGAAAGAAAGAAAGAAAGAAAGAAAGAAAGAAAGAAAGAAAGAAAGAAAGAAAGAAAGAAAG